GGTGTAAAAATCAGCATACTGCCACAGGCTGATGGCATAAACCTTAATTATATCGGGTACTTGAATCAAAATTGATTTTTTAAAATTAAAAAACAAGAGTTAACAAATCTTGCAAACCCACCTACCAGAAATCAGCACTTGCTTTTTCACAAAGGTCATTAACATCAAAGCTTACTTTAGAAAAAAAAAGATCACAAAAAGCACAACCTACCCTTTCGAAAACTTCTTGAACGCTGGTCTGATGACAGCACGCTTACTGATGATGCAATGGCGTCCAATACGGACATTGGCCAGGTCCCCTCTGATGACACATCCACTCATTACGATCGTCTGGAAAAAATTGTACACGTGTTTTACAAACCCAGTGACATAACTTAGATCATTTACAGGGTGGGCTGCTTTGACCCTGCCTGTCCGGGCCAGCCTGGGTGGAGAGGGATGTAACATCCGAGCAGACAGATGGGAATACTCAATTAAAAAACCCTCCCTTCTTAAACTTACGTCTTCTGTGAGGAATGGTAAAGAGCTTAACTGCAACACCAGAAACACTGGCCACAATAGTCTCAGAGAAACAACATTAAACAAACACGATGGAGTCTAACAGGAGACAGAGCCGATACAGGCATGGGTGTGTTGAATCTTAGCATGCACCGAGTCAGCATGATACTAGACCAATTTCAAGAGAAACAAATTTCAAATATCACAGACGATGAAAAGGAGCAGGAGCAGACAACATCATAGTGCCCATGAACAATTTATCATTTACCTCTCACTGAACATAAAGACAAGACTTCCACAGACTGAGCCAAAGTGAAATCTATTGACATTGATCCTCTTTAAAAAAAGACGCAAAAAATATTTTCAAATGAAAGAATAGCAAACAAAACTGAAGTAAAACATGACATGACAATTTGAAATAAGGTTATAACTAGCAACTACTAGCCAATAATGAGGAACAATTCAAAAACATGTACAAACTTCAACAACCAAGCAGAGAAATACTAAATACGATATAAATACCTTTCCATTGATGACAATATTCTGACTTCCACAAAGCACTGATTGTCTGCTAACCTTGTTACCAGAAGCCTGCAGAAAGAGATTCATTCAGTTCATTTTCATGGAAATCAAAGGAGGGATATTAATGTATAATATAAATAGGCTTATACTTTGTCGAACCTGGTCTAACCACCACCTGTTAAAGACAATCACCTGTACAAAAACCACTTCCCATTTCCATCCTTGCAGGGTTTTTAAAAAAATATAATATAATGACACGGTCCAAGATTACCCCTTTTCCCCTCCACAATGGGTAATCGAAAAATAAATTTCCTTAAAAGAAAAAAGGAAAAACTATAGTGGACCCCACATATAACATAACAGTCACGGCTAAAACAGGGTGTCGGCTACAGCAAGCTTATAATAATCCCAAAGTCCAACCACATATGTCTTCCCCGGTCAACATCAGTCGTACGACGCACTGTTCTATTATCAGCTACGAGGCTCATAAGGCAAAAAAGTGACTTTCCATGAAATTTTTGCTTTTTTGGATATTTTGAAAGTTTGATGTCTTCTGCTTATATAAGATAAAAATAAACAACTATAATCGACTATAAATATATTTTATTTTAATTTATTTTGGAAGTATGTGTGTGGTTTGTTGTGAGCTAGGGTGACCAGATAAAGGACTTTGGACCTTACTAGTGTGTAGCTGTGAGATTATTTTTAGAACCATTACCTAATGGCCACCTTTGCTTCAGCCAAAGATACTATTGGAGTATCTTTGCTCCAACATTTTTCATTCGCAACTATTTTTAGATTTCGACCCCTTTTCGAGCATGAATGGTCTGAAATGTAGACAACTCTGATAGGTGAAATGGAGTAAGAACGGAAACTTCTAGCTCACTTCAAGCTTGTTTACGTAAACAGCTGACTGCGTGGGCGTGCCCGGCTAGCTGTTATCGTCTGTTGAGGTCTTTCAGTTTTACACTTGGGTTGATTTCTAAAATTTGTTTTTATTGTGTTTTAAGGCTTTTAAAAGATTAATTGACCTTCCTCTAGATCTCTCAAAGCGGACTCCTTACCAAGAGGCCAACGAGGCGCTCTATGTGCATGTGTGTATATGTGTGTTGGTGTGTTAGTATGTGTGTGAATGTGTGTGTGTGTGTGTGTGTGTGTGTGTGTGTGTGTGTGTGTGTGTGTGTGTGTGTGTGTTTGGGTGCTCTCATGTGGGTACTATTGCAAACGTTCATGTAGCATAAACCCGGCACGTAAGCCGACTCGCGGCCTTCCGAGCACATGGTTTCGGTAAAATAGGGGTAATAAAACACCAAATGCTGAACACTAAGAAAAAGGGTAAGTTAGTTTTTGTATATATTATAATCCGAGTATGAGCTGGAGAATCGCCGTGGAAACGGAAGCCTCTCGCCGTCGGAATGTGAGGTGGGCCAGTTCAAAATTGACACCATGCATTCGAATGCTTTGCAGAAAGATTGATGATTAAATACCGTCTTTTCATTGGCGGGGAGAACTATACAGCTTTGAGCGTGGTTTCCCGTGGTTATTATTTTTGGCCTTTGGAGTTCGGATAGAAAACCTTGGAAAAAAGCGTCTAAGTTTTCAAAGATAATTATAAACATGGAATGTGTAAAATATCAGCTAAAAAAGGAACCAATAAAAAGAACCGTTCCTTTTCTATTAAAATAAAGTCATCGGCTTGGAATTATTTTGCATGAATCATTCCGCGAAACTACCGGGAGCACTCAGAACACTACAGTATTGAGCCGATTCGATCGCAGCGAGAGCTGGTGCGACGCCGGCCGAGACAACTCTCAGTGTTTTAATTGAAATAACGACAGATCATCGTGTTTGAGGCAATACAATATTGATTTGTAATGATCTCACAGTCATGAAAAAAAAATAGGCTTCATTTCTTTGTTTTAATGATGGTACTCTGTTAATGTAGAGATGTTTGGTGAACTTGGTACTCTTTTATTATCTGTCTATTCTTTTCTTTTTCATTTGAAATGCGTTTAAAAACAAAGCACTAGTTTCAGCCTAGCCTAGGTGTTAATATTGGCTGGGCTAAATGTGCACTAGGACTGACAGGAAATTATTAATAGAAAATTGAAGGCCTTTAGAATTTGTCTATTAATGAACCTCAAAAAAGAAAAGAACTCGTAAGAACTCAATGAACTAATGTATTACTATTACTTTGCTACACAATGGTGTAGAGGAAAAAACTAGACGACAACGGTGACCAACTTAACATTTACATAATATATATATATATATTGCAATGGGCCGGTAAAAACAGCCTTACAAACGAGGCCTAATTTTTAGTGATTTTCAAAACATAGCAAGAAAAATAGTAATTGTTGAAACTTTTAACTATTTATGAAACTCTGGGGAAGGACTACTTCCATAACGAGCGACCATCCCAACAAACACTACGAACACTACAAACCCTAACCGGGCGCTCTTTAGAAATTTGTTTCCCGTTCTATTGGCAGCCATTTTCGAACGGATAATTTGCCACGCAAATGTAAAGATTGTGTGTGTTTTTTATTATTATTATTTTTGCCAGGGAGGCAAGCCCCCCCCCCCCTGAAACACTCCACTAATAGGGGGGCAAGCCCCTTATAAATACCCCCCCCCCCCCCCCCCAACCCTACCTCAAATCTTAACATTACATACCCTCTAGATTCTATTCTACTTTGTTTCATAGCGGTCACTCGTTACGGAATTCCTCCCAACTCTGGCTACGAATCTGATATTGTTTTTTCAATAAGACATAGATCTAGAGATCTAGAATCTAGGCTAGTGTTCAATAAAAAGTTCTTCGTAAACAAGACATTGATTTTTTGTATTATATCAGACCGTCCAGCCAAACCAAAATCTGGCTGTGCCCGATTTTCAACAAGGGGACGGATTGAAGGACTGACTGATAATTTCAAATAATTTTCTTCTTGCGCAGCAGGCCTCAGGATGGAAAGACTGAAGGCTGTCTAAAGTCCTAATGCTGTCAGTTCCAACGGTAACTCAAGTATCTCAAGACTAAAGTATCTGTCACCGACTGCTTCGTCTCACCACCGTCAGTCTGGAGAGAGCTGTTTAAGATCATATTATTATTCAATTGACAACGCCAACTTACAGTTTCAATGTACTGGGGGACATTGTAAAAATCGTCTTGTAATTCCATGTTTTAAAGTTCTTAAAATGGTCAAGAGTGAGTCACAAACAACAAATCGATATAATTTTTCAGTCTCGGCGATGTTGTTGCATCGCTCATACGGAAGTAAAGATCGTTAGAAACCGAAACTAGGCCTACGTTTATGCCGTCCGGAAAAAGAACTCTTTCGACAACAAAACATGTGCGCAAAGTTTCTTGTTTCCTTTGTCGCTGCGCACTGAATTGTCTGATGCCAATTTGGCTATCGTAGTACTTTTATATTCTGTGATGTAGATTGATAACGTCAAAACCGCAAAGGTGATGCGTATTTGAGATGCTTATAATTGTTCGAAACATGGTATAGTATGAGCGGAGACGTATAAATACATGCCAAACATTTCTCTGCTGGAGAAAGAAGACTGAAATCTGCAGAGTTAGTTCAGATAAATACTGACGGAAAAAGTCTTACATTATCAGAATATAATGTCCCCGCAGTGAACAGTTCCCGTGTCCGCGAATAGTTAAGGCATCGAAGTTCGATTACTTTGAAATTAAATGCTTCGCCTCTTAAATCTTATAGCATCAAAAGGCACATACATGTAATCTTATTTCATTTGCACATTCACGCTCATCCTCGTGTGTGTATGTGTGTGAGTGTGTTTGTCGTGTGTGTGTGTGTGTGTGTGTGTGTGTGTGTGTGTGTGTGTGTGTGTGTGTGAGAGAGAGAGAGAGAGAGAGAGAGAGAGAGAGAGAGAGAGATCGAGAGAAAGAGAGAGAGATCGAGAGAGAGAAAGGGGGGGGGGTATAAAGAAAGATCGAGAGAGAGAGAGAGGGGGGGGGAGAGGGAGAGAAGGAGGGTCGATAGAGAACTAAGAAAATGTGAAAGGGAGAAACGGCATCTAAAAAGGAAATTATGGAAAGTTATAATATATAGAGAAAGATTAATAATTTGGTGCCAGTTGAAGGTCTTGGCGCCACTTACGCCGCCCGATCGACCGTCTAGTCAAGGTTCGGTATACTCGCCAGCCTACAGCTGGGATCAGGCGGTCTTGGCCTAGCGAGCATGTAAAACTACCCCCTCCCCATATGCAGGGGCACAGCACCCTATAGGCCTATCCATAGTTATATTCTAGCTAGCGAAGATACGCTTGTCGATATCTATAAATATATAGGCCTGCCATATAGAGACATATAATACAAGTACGAGCTTATTGCTAGCTAACCCAGAAGGCTGTAGGCCTAGTGATACAATAAGATCCTCCTTAAACCAACAGACATAACATTGAACATATATGTGCATTATCCTACTTCAACTTATCTTCTGTCTTTAAATGCCGCCTCAATGCTAACTGATGTGGCACTAGCTTAGCGTATTATTAATAGCCTAATTAAGACTGCATGCATCCTTTGGAAAATGCAAAGCAAGGGTTTGAGACTGCTGTGGAATTCTCACTGCAAACAATGTTGAAACTTTACAGTGCGTTAAGTGCCTCTCAACCTTAATGCTATTAAATTGTTATATGTGATATATTAGACCTGGGGCTGGGCGCAATTATAGCAGGCTATTATAATATAACGTGTTCTAAATAAGCCATGACAAGATATACGGTTTACTGATGATGGACGAACTGCCATAGTATTACAAATCACGTCAAAATTGGGTCGATAGTGCCGTAAAACACCTACTCAATCAATACAAATCACGTGCGCAATCGTAGGGCCTGCACATGCACATGTTATTGTTATGTATTTAACCGACAATTCTACACAAGCAGATCTATGTATATTTATATATTAGTGCCAAATCAAAAATATTTTGATGATGTTAAAAAAAAACAACCAACCAAACAAACAAAACACGGAAAGCTGCTAATTTCAGGGAATGTTGGCAAGAAGATTTAATGTTTCTACTGCCAAAAAGTATTTTATGAGGTGTTCGCTGCATGAAAATTTTACAACTCGCCTTAGTGAGTCGGAAAAAAATAGTAGGCCTTATGTTTGAGATAGAAATAATAATTTAGATGTCGGCTCAAAGATTGCTACGCTTATAAAGCGAAGTTAATGGACATTTATCTTCAGGGTGAAAATGAATCAGGGTGTTGGAGAGGGAAGATTTTGTTTAATTTGAGACTGAAAGTTTTTTTGGGTTGTTTTTTGTGTGGTCATACGTGGATCTAATAAAGTACACGTATAATTCTATCAGAAAGACTGGGAGAGTTGAATAACTTCCTGATCTGTTTTTTTGTTCTTTCACACGAAATACCTGGCAACCTTCACTACATGTCAATGTTGTGTTGGTGTCGCTTTCTTGTACTTTATGAGAAGGATGAGACCATGGCAAACTTAGAAGAATAACATTGAATATGTTTTGGAGGAGCGAATGAACGACAAAAATGAGTTTCAATGGCTGTCAGCATTTGCAGACTTACAAAGAAGCCACTGGAACAACGACGTACAGAATAATTTACTCATGTTTTGTCTCTTGCTCAACAGCTGACGCTCGCCGGAGGAAGGTGAGTGTGAGAGGAGACGAAACTAGAATTAGAGGGTCAAGACGATGTGATGTTGAATGATTGAAAAGAGTAGGCCTATTGACTTTTAGTAGGCCTTGATAGGGAGCAAGAAGGACTGTATATTACAATGGGGTGTAATAAATGTGCATCCCTTCCACGCCATTCTTGCGCCTGTTTTTCTTTTCCTTGTTTTAACTAGAAATCTAGATCTATGATGCTGTTGTTGAGTAGGCCCCCCCTACCTTGGTGGGCTGGGCTCTGCCTCGACCCTCAACTGAAACTGAAAGCAGGGCATGCTCACCTCTAGGCATTGAAATGATTGCTTTGTCATTTTTTTTTGGTTACCTTTCTGCAAGACCTTTGTAGGAAGTTTTATAAATATTAGGACATTTCGCAATGTGACATGACAATTTAGGAAAGCCCACAGGTTTACAAATTTAAAAATGTACACACATTCATATTCTCCCCCTCCAAGTATTGACATTGATGAGTCATAGAATAGATTGTGGTTATCTGCTGCCACAACTTACTGTACAGCTCTAAATCTGATAATGAATGAAATTTCAGTGTATCAAGGGATGTGGATCATCTAACTGTCTAACTATTTATGTTACAGCATGCACATAAAGTTAAAGGTCAAGTGCTGGTGGTTGAAAGACTTTTTACTTTCTATAGAAGTGTGTAAAATTGGCCTTGAATGTGACCTGAGGGAGTTTAAATCTTGCTTTTAAGGCAAGGGCTTAATTTTTGGAGAACCTGTCTGTCTTTGTCATTCATTCATTTATTGTGCTCTGTCTTTTATAATTCTAAATCTTAGCACAAGATCATCGTGAAAGTCGCTGTTCCTCTTCGGAGGCCTGGTGCAATCAACTAAGAGGAAGTAAGTAGTACAACCTAAGCAAGCAGGCAAACTCTGACTCAAGTGTTTGAAATTGCTAAGCAAAGGGTTTACCTTATTTCTAAACTGATTTGAGTCATATATTGTGTCATGGCCTTAATGATAACTACAATGCTCTGACTGCTGTCTGTAGTTTTAGGAAGCTTTGCTGTTTGTATGACTCATGAATGAAAATACTCATCTTGAACATGTTGTTCTCTATCCACAGGCTGAGCTTTCTAAATGTGTAGAGTGCAAGGAAGCAAAACCTCGTCTTCATGCTTGCCTGTCCTGTATTTATTTTGGCTGTTATGACAAGCGACATATCCATGCTCATGCCCAAGATAAAAAACATCACATAGGTATTGTTTTCAAGTATTTCTTTGCTTTTCAGATCTTAGTTTTACTTTTATTCAATGAACCGGTCAAAATTTGTTAATGATAAAGAACAGGTGCTCTGATATTAAAAATTTCTGCACTTAAAATTTAAAAAATATGTTTAATGAGAAAAGCAATGCAAAGAACCAAGCCTCACCAATGCTAGTGCTGGATAGTAAGTGGATGTTTCATTATAGTCTGCTCTTCTCCCCTCATTGTTGTTACTAGATGCAGTTGAGTTGAAACTCTTTCCACTTTCTTTTAAAATATATGTTGATGAAATATCCAAAGTAATAACATTTTGACCGATATTTTTGTACTTGCATACCCATTGGATTTGCTTTTTTTTTTGTGTTTGTTTTCAGGAATTGACCTGTCTTATGGCACCATATACTGTTTTGTCTGTGAGGACTATGTGTATGATTCCGAACTTGAGGAGATTGCCAAAGCTCAAAGACGCAGGGCTACCTTATCTCTTGGTAAATTCAGCAATACTGATAAGTGTTGGTAGTGTTTTATACTCTTTTGTTGTTGCTGTTTTCAGTCACTGTGTACGCTGTGAAAAACAGTAATGTTTATGATGATTCATTCATTCTGCTTTTTTATATTTTTTATCTTTAATAACATAATGTGTGGATAATACACAAATACAGATATACTACTAAGATTGCAAGGAAGGATTGAAATGTAAATCTGTATGTATACTACTATAGATTTAGAGGAAGATCTGTAGCTGATCAGTATAAGATATAGGTAGAAAGGTTCATATTTTTGTCAGTTAGTGCCATGTGATTGACTGCGTCTAATGAAAATCTTGTTGCCTTTTTGTCAATTAAAATGGCAATTAGAAGAAAGGTTAGATAGAAAATATTCAAGACCTCAAAACAAAATGTATGACTTCTTAGTCATGGCCTAAGAAACTGTTGTTTTTTTTTGTTGATTTTTAAAATACAATTTTGCTCAAATGTGGTCAAATTTTGAATGTGTTATTTTTTCCAGGTTTAAAGCAACGCTTCTTTCCATGGGAACCTACTGAAGAAGAACTTATTTTGCTAAGATGTAATCCAAAACGAAGACGTGTCACAGAAGCATCACATATAGGTATGTTGTGCTGTTTAATTGTGATAAATATATGTTTTGAACAGGTTGGAATCCATGTCGTGACAAGTGCTGAATAGGTGTTCAATGATTGCTCAGTAATGCTGACTTTTCTCGGCAAATATGAAAGGAATCATTTTAACTTTTAGCAAATGACGTATAGTTTTCCTGTTTCATCAGACTAGTTTCTGAATTTGTTTTTGTTCTTGGTCCTTCTCTCATCCTTTCCAATAGGCCAAGAATTTGTAAAGAGACTTGGAGTAATTTGTTATCTTTTATTACTGGGAATGGTGTTGACGGCACTTAAAGACTTTTTTTCTAGCTCTAAAGTCTCTCCATGAGCTCCAAAGTCTCTCTATGTTGCTGTCATCTGGCAGTGATTTGGTTTCATTTTTGCGCTTATTTCAGGTCTCAGAGGTTTAATCAATTTAGGCAACACATGCTTTATGAACTGCATCCTGCAGTCGTTAGCTCACACGCCAATCCTGCGTGACTACTTCATGGCGGACAAACACACGTGCCAGAAGAACGACGACTCTCAGCAGTGCCTTGTCTGTGAGATGGCCAGGCTCTACCAGGAGGTGGCTCATTCTGCTTTTTTATATTTTTTATCTTTAATAACATAATGTGTGGATAATTTAAAATAAAGGTTTTTTGTTTGTTTTTTCTTTTCCTGTTTAAAAAAAAATATTTTGTGTTTATTGAAGTCCAGTTTGATAATTACAATGGAACATTTTCAAAAAGAAATTTAGGTTGAGGTTTTCTTTTAAATGGACTACATTGTATACAAATGGGAGTATATATATATGTGCATTTTACTTCCTGGGAAATTATGTGCTTATCTTTCTATTTACAAAAATAAAAGGTTTATTTAACCTATTCTGATGATGAGGACTTTTTCATTCAAGCAAAATAATCTGTGCGTCTTCGTTACCTCAGGTGTATTCAGGTCTTCGCACCCCGTATATCCCATACAAGCTTCTTCATCTTGTGTGGACCAACGCCCGGCACCTGGCTGGCTATGAGCAGCAGGATGCTCACGAGTTCCTCATTGCAGCACTTGATGTGTTGCACAGACACTGCAAGGGTGAGTTACAAATGACTGGTGTGGGTGAATCCTCTTATGAATAGTAAGCTGTGGTTCTTGCTTCTTTTTTTTTTCTCACGATTGGAATGCATTGAGAGCTGTTGCTGGGGGCCTGTGTCCATGGGAGGGTGATTGGCTTAAATCAATCTTGCTTTCCATACATATACCAAGTATTTTGATTCATCAGCATAGTAACTATAAATACAAAATTGGTTTAAGATATGAACAGCCAGTTTTTATACTTCCTTCTGGTTTATGTATCTTTGTTTATCCCTTTTTTGATATACCTCATGGGTTTCTGTAAATTTTCTTTTTGGTTCGGAATTCACACTTGTATCAGTTGAATTGTAATCCAACATAAAACTTATTAACCACAGGTTCCTCTTTTGGGCCGGTCCAAAGGAATTGGATTAATTTGCTGTTCAAGAAAGAAATATTGAGGAAAGTTAAAATTCTGCTGCTGACTTCTGTAAAAAAGTATTATATAGTTGCATGTCACTGTTAGTTTTGCTTTTTGGTTCTGTTATGAACATTTTTGTTGTTTTTTTAAATGTGGTTAATACATCTTTAATCTTTTGAAAATTTGACTGCTGTCTAATCTGCTTTTGCTTTCCTCCCAAAGAAATGAATGGTGTGAGTGACAGCAACCCCCACCACTGTAACTGTATCATAGATCGGATCTTCACTGGAGGGCTTCAGTCTGATGTCACTTGTAAACGGTGCAAGTAAGTCCCTTCCTCGATATGATTAAACATTTTTAGAAATTCAGTTGCAGTGGGTAGCTGTTTTTTCGTCAAAGAATACTTTGTTCAGTTTAGATTTTTCTATGTGGGCCCAATTAAAGAACAGTTTCTGAAGTACAAAAAAAATGGAATTTTTAATACCTCTCTTCTGTGAACCGTAGGAAAGGTGAGTAAGGCTGTAGTGCATTTTCCCCTCAGTCCATGGCAAAGGCACAACAGGAGAATTCGTAAGAAATAACACTTAATCAAGTTTTAAAATGACCAGATAGATATCAACTTATCAGTGTAAGTTGGTTCTTGTGAAATTTTCTCGAACACACATATACAGTTCTCAGCCTTGGTGTCACACACCTTCGTACAAAAGAGGCCTCAGCAGACTCCATTTTCATGGCCACTGGGTCTGTGGCATGCTTCGTTGCTTTTTGGTTATGTGAGAAAATAGGACTTGTGAAGCTGGTGAGGAGATTATTTGCCTGCCATTGATTTTCAAACTAAATGCCAACGTACATATTTGACATTCTTTAGGGTTGTTAAAGTAAATGTCTGCATGGATTTTAGCTTTAAAGTTTCACCTCTACATATGTAGAAGAACTCGTATTTTTCACTGAGTATAGTATTATTATAAATCTTAAGTAAAACAGACCAGCATCTCTAGTATAATGGTCAGGCTCTCATTTTCACATGGAAGACATGAATTTGAATTTTATTCCACCGTCGGTGAATTTATGCTATTGAACACCTCTGTGTGCTTAGCTACTGTATTCTTTACAGAGTCTTGGATGGCCCTGACAGGCATGGTTGGAGCAGCTGGCCCAAAAACAATTTAAATTACGTCCGTCTTAGGTGGATGCAGGACATTAGCAATAATTGTTTAGGGTAAAACAAAAAATGCGTTGCGTGACTTTGTTGTTGTTGTTTTCCCCAGTAATGTCTCTACAACGATCGACCCCATCTGGGACATCTCCCTAGACCTGGGTCCCGGCTCTATCCACTCCTCCCACCTCATCCCGCCAGCCGCAACGGCTGCTGTCGGCGATGTGGCAAACTCTACCTCATTCTCCTCTGCTGCTTCCGAGTCCACCAACTCTCCCTCCACAGGTGAGTAAGCTGCAATAGTAATAAATGATAAGTGGCATTTATATAGTGCTCAGCCTCGATTAAAGTAAACAGGCTCTGAACGCTTTATTGTTAGTTATATGGAATTTTTTTTAAAACTTATTTATTAATTTATTATTTTTTGGTGCATGATTGGAGGGTGCCCCAGGTAGGTCCTTCTCTTGTTCTTTCCTCTGTCGTCTTCATCTATCTGTCTTACTTTTTTCCCCCAGTGCTAAATGCTTGTTATTGTGTTGACATTCCTCTCTTTACTCTTTTGTGTAGTCAGAGGCTAGCACTGGTTGTTTAAAAAGGTTTATGATTCTTTTTAGGTTCTGATTTTCATTCTGATTAGAATGGCGACCATTATGCTCATGACTTCTTCATAGCTCAGACAATCGAGAGAGTAAAATATATCATGGATTCTCATACTTCGCTTTGTTGTGTCATCTGTTGTATCTTTTTTCCCTTTTCAGGCTTTACAAATAGTCCAGGGAACTATGAACCTACCTCACTTGTAGAATGTTTGAAAAGGTAAGCAAGCCATATATAAATTTAAAACAGCTAATACAATTAATAGTTGTTATCAATTTTCAGAAATCCATTGGAGTCTGTTCATTTTGGAATATAGAAAAAAAAAGTGTTGAAAAGGCTCTAGTGATTGGTCCTGCTCTTTTTTTTTTTTATATCGTGCTTTTGCTTTTCTGGTTATTAAGTCGCTTTTATATTGAGCTTTGTTGAGAATTTTTATTAATAAATAAAGTTGATCCAAAGTAAGGAATAGATTTTATACCATATCAACAGAAAGAGCTATTAGTTTTTAAAAATTAATTTGAAGAGTGATGTTTGCTTTTGTGCATCATTGAATGGTGTTTTTTTATTGATTTCATCAATTCCAAAAGGTTTACCAAGACAGAGCACTTGGGGAACTCAGCCAAGATCAAATGCAGCAAATGTCATAGCTACCAAGAATCTACCAAACAACTTACAATGAAGAAGTTACCCATAGTTGCCTGTTTCCATTTAAAGGTAAGGTTGACTTTGTCTCCCTTTAGATATTTGTACTTCTTCTTTTTGTATCTCTTGACTAATGTCTTCTCTGGTGGAGAGATAGTGTTTTTAACGTTAAAAAAGCAAATAAGTTTTTGGTGGTTTTTTTAGAACTTCCAGCTTTATAAGTAGTTCTTTTCCCTTTATATTGTAACAAGATTAGAAGGCTAGTTATACCTAGTTTTCTGCTAGTTTTGCAGAATGTTTTGTTAGCAGAATGGGAGTGGGTATTTAAGAAAAAAATGTTTGCTTTGTCGGGGAGGGGGGGGGGGGTTCAAGGTCTTATTCATAATCATGTTTCTGCAGTGATCTAAAAACATAACAATCTAAATCATCTATTTTGTTGGCCCAAATTCATTAGTTTTAGGTTCCAGGTCTTCTTTTTATACTAAGGAAATGGGGCACCCCTGAATGTTGTATAATATGTGTTATATAGGCAAGTTTTGATTTTCAGTTTATTGTTACCTTAGAATTATAAAGTTATGTCTGACATTTTTGGTCGTTTTGAGTTACTAAGACCATGAGGTCAGAAACCAAATGTTCTATCGGTTCTTTCAAAATTGTAAGATTATTCAGTGTCCTTATCAAGATGTTCAAAGAAAAGATTAGAATTGCATATATGAAAAAGCTTGACATGTTGTGAAAGTCAGAATCTTTAACATCAAAATTATCAAAACTAGGTACTGAGCAGGTGGAACTTTGTAATTCTAGGGTTGCGTTCTGTCAACAGCACCTTGTGTGGAGAGGATCATGAGTGTGACTGAAAACCACAGCGTTCTGTGGGTAAAGCAATTAAAGTTCTCTGTCATATTACCTGAAATCAACAAGATTGAAGGTGTTTGTGCAGCTAGCACTTATGCAACCCCCCCCCCCCCCCCCTCAAGGTTTTACAACATCTAGAAAACTTGCAGAATTTTAAAAATAATTCTGTGTTTTCTTACTTTTCATTACTTCAGTTAGAAGATGGTATTTCAGTAATTCCTCTTGGCTGTACTGAACATGGGTTTTTGGGGGGAGCTTTGATAGCTTTCAACCCGTTTGGTAGTCCTGTTGGAGATGGACGATAATTTCGAAGTCCTGCTATTAGAAATAAATTTACAATTTTGAAAGGGGCATTAAACCTATACAATGATCAATGGTATTGTAGTACCTAGTCATCATCATCATCATCGTCGTGGTCATCACTGCTCTTCTCACCCTGCATCAGGTTAGGCCACGAACAAACACTTTTCTCCTCGCATTTTGATTTTCCTCTTCTTCTTATGTATGTTTGTCACTCTCTTCTGACCTGCTATTTTGGGGTGCCTTGATAGTCAAAGCAGATCTTGTGCTGTTGAAGCTAGAGAGGTGAGCAGTCTAAGTCTGATTCCCTGTAAAGACTTTTCTGTTGACACCCACCCCTTGGCGCTCATATGACCTTATGCAGATGCGAGCGCTGTAAAACCCTCTACTATAAAAAACAACCCAACACTTTTCACCTTTCTCTATCCTCTTGGTGTTATTCCATGTCTTCCCATTTTTCTGTACATCAGTTTCTGTGACTCTTATCCAGGTTCCACATGGTCTTCCCCTTGATCTTTTACCCTGTGAATTTCAATCCAACCCAACACTCTCATTGTTATGCAGCTGAAAGTACCTAGAATACTTTGCCAAATAGGCTGATACATGTGTGCCTTTGTTTACAAAAATGAAAACTACAAATTTTCCTACATTTGTTTTTGTTTCAGCGTTTTGAGCATTCCACGGGCTACCACAAGAAGATCTCCACATTTGTCTCATTCCCTGAGGAGTTAGACATGACACCGTTCATGTCGTCGTCACGGAACCACAACAATGGCTACAGCAGTCAAGTGATACACTCTACCCCAGCCCCACATATGTCCTGTGATAACAAGTGAGGATTTTTCTTTCTCTCTCCATCACTCTGTAGTCTTCCTCTGTCCCCCCCCCCCCCCCCCCTTCTCTCTCTCTCTCTCTTTCTCGTTTTTTCTTACTCTCCCCATATGTGTCTCTTTCTTTCTTTCCCCTCTTTCTCTGTCTCTCCCTCTCTCCCCTTCTGTGCCTCTGTTTTTCTTCCATCTCTCCTCTCCCTCTCTTTTTTTTGTATCTTGATTATCAACCTGAGTCATTTAGTAGAGAAGACAATGTGCTATAAGAATAAAATGTTTGTGTATACTCAAATAGAGCATGCTGTCGACCATGGATAACGCAAACACATCGGGGATTGACAAATGTGTTTGACACATCCGTAATTCAGGTACCAATAAATTTAAAAGATATCAGTCGGGGGAATGGCAAACTGTACGAGCTATCCGTGATTTTGAGATTTCTGTGTTTGTGTTAACTATATCTGACTGTATCACCTTACCCCCGAATCTCAGAAAAATAACAAATCCTAAAACATTTGAACGATTGCTCAATACTCATTTGTTTCATTTTTAGTTGTACTGTGTTAGTAAGTGCTATGTTTTGTTGTTACTGTTGTCCTTACGTGTACAGTAGTCTCCGCCTAAACGCACACCATACAAAATCACGCTCCGCTCAAACGCACGCATTCATCATCTGACGTTTTTTTTACAATATAATTTAAACGTACAAACGCACAGTCACTCCCTCTAAACGCATGCTCCGATCTGTGAAACACACCGACAGATAACGCTTGACAAGTGGAAATTTTCACTACAACCTTCACAGCCTGCATAAGATAAGCCTAGAAAATCAGATATTTGGTGAGCATGCCCCTCACGCCAAACAAAGAGAGTGATGGACAGCGTTTTTACACCAAACTTTCCTCAGACACATTCACATATATATATATATATATAGGACTGGTCGCTGAAAAGCTGGTAGTGGGAGGGGGGGGGATTGGGGAACTAATGTTTTTTGATTGGTCACTGGAAATGCATCTTTGAGAGGTTTCTCACTGGTGTTAGTTTGAGTGACTGCATGTAATGTTAAGTTAGATCTAGGCCTGATGCGCGACACATGTAAATGCAGTAAAACACTAGACAGGCCTCTATAAGATTGAAGATTAGCCTAGTAAGCCTAATCAGCTGTGCTCGAACTGGAAGAACTTATGACGAACTGTTTCAACGAATCACAAAAGAAATGTTATTCTGAATATAGAGATCTATGATTCTGATGTCGTCCATGAATTTACGGTCGTGGATGGTCGCTTGGAAAGCCACATGGCTGGGCCGTCGTCTCTATGACGTTCACCAACAGTTGCCTCTTAGGCTATCTGTTCCCGACGTTTTATAGTGCATTCATTCAGGGTGTCCAGCAAAGTCGTAAAAAAGTCGTAAATTCGGCGCCCTGGTCGCAAAGGTCGTAAATGGTAGTAAATTTGCCTTGAAGGTAGTAAAAATTTGGTAAACGGTCGTAAATTAGCCTGCATATTGAGTGATGAAGCCAGCAAAACTTTTCAGTGAGCCCTAGCCGCGGTACATGACACCGTTGTTGCCGGTCGCGATTGTGATATAATAGTCGTTCACCTTTTCCCCGTCCGAGAGTACGTTTCATGCGAAAAGCCGCTATAGCGGCAGGTTGAAGTGTATGTGACACCCAGGCTCGATCGGGAAAATCAAGATCTACTTTCGCTTTCGTTACCACCCTGAAATTTGGCGAAGATAAACGGATAACGCAACATTTGTAATATGCAGGTTGTACAGTATAAATGCTGTGTCGCCGTGCAAATAGAATGTAATAATTACTCGGACTCTTCACCGTGCTATCACTTGTGTGTGTGTGTGTGGGGGGGGGGGGGGGGGGAAAACAAGCTTCGTCCGATTTTCAGATTGTCGGGTTCGCCAACGTGACAGGTCAGTGAACCTTCGCACGAGGCACTACAAGGTACGGCATCAGTGAGCACCGGCGTTTGTTGGGGTCACCAAAGTTCATTAAAAAGTCTGAGCGTTGTAAAGTATAGGACTACGGAGTAGGGCAGGGATTATTGATTTTTTTTAAAGAGATACACTCGGGGGGGGGGGGCGGCTGAAGGCAACACCAGAGGACAAAAACTGTAAGCAAATGTCAGAATTTTGATTAGATTTAGAGCCCTCTGCCAAGCGCGGGTTGGTGCATGCGTTGTATGGAATCGGGATCCTTCATACCTTGTAAGCCGTGTTATTGAAATTAAGTGTTCGCGTTTCATTTGTTGGGTGATAGTAAATTAGAACAATATTGTAGCTTTCTGTTCAAGACTAGCAGATTTTCAGTGTCACTGCCTCTTGCCCTCTCACAGTTCTTACACCTCTCACACTGAATAGGTTTACTCGAGTCATTTTACGTGTGTGTGTGTGCGTGCGCGCGCATTGTTGTTGTGTAACATGGCCTAGGAAAATGGAGAAGCCGGTTTGGCAGTCACCTTCCTTGTGTGTACACATTAGGTATAAATCTACCCCCCTCCTCCTCCCACCACCCCCAGGGCAGTGCTACTGACTGAAACGTCTTTAGGCCATTCCCAAAGGGAGGATGTTAACATGTTCTTATGCACAGTAGAATTGTAAATATGGGCTGATTTATCAATGTCATGCTCATACTGTGCTGGACCAGCAGAGGGGGAACTGCTGCCTTTTCTGTCCTCTTCTTTACTATCGTCATTTTCCTCTGCTTCTTTTGTTTGTTTGTCACGCTTGTGAACCACTGTTTCCGGGGCGCCTTGATAGTCGAAGCTTGATTCTCCATTTGGACTTCTCTGTTGACATCCACCCCTTGTCGCTCATATCACCTATGCAGTTGTGAGCGCCGTAAAAACCTTACTAAAACTAAATCTAGCTGCAAGCAAGCTTGTGATCGTCTGTCAATCCTCCATTTTGTCGATTGGACTTTGTTGTGTGTTCTTTTCGTTCCATATGTTATGTAATAATAATATATATGTTATTGAATGCGCAAATTAACTCCCTTTTTCGAGCTGGTGTGGGGCTTGATTTGCTGGGTAGTAAATTTTTTTTTTCAAGGTAGTAAATTTTTTCAGGAAATATTGCTGGACACCCTGATTCATTACATCGAGTCTGTCTACCCCCCACCCCACCCCACCCCCCTCCATTCAACGCCTTCATATTCTTAACAATCTTAACCTCAGTTGGGGAATCCTTCACAAAGCAGTTACATGTACGTGTCGTTACATTATGGGCCAAAATGACCCCCACCCTCCAAGGAAGGTCACTGAAGTAATAAGGAATTGAGATGACTGCATCCCTTCCTTCCTTAGCCCAGGTTCATGTAAACGCACGCTCCGTATAAACATGCGCTAAGGAGCCCTCCCAAGCACCGTGCGTTTAGGCGGAGACTACTGTTTATAATTAATGTATGGTTTTGATGGTTTTTCTTTATGTGGTTGAAATTGTTTTTTCTTGTTATTGTGAACTATTTTGTCCGATGTGAATTCATTTTTACTTTTCAATGATCATGTGACTGATGTAAAGCGCTCAGAACTTATACTTGTTTGGGATAGAGTGCTATATAAATGCAATCCATTATTATTATTATTAATCTTTAAAGTTATTCTTTGTCTTTTGTGGTGAACTATGATGGCACTGTCAGTAGAAATGTGTGTACTCAACTGGGATGCATAATAACAATTTCAGGTATTCTTTGTTTGCCGTGGTGAACCACTACGGCACCATCGAGTCGGGCCACTACACTTGCTACATTCGCTCGTCCAAAGAGAAGTGGTTCCGGTGTGAGGATCACCTCATCAAACGTGCCACAGCCGGTGAAGTGCTCAACAGTGAAGGGTAAGTCGTGTTGGTTATTTATGTCAACTTTTAACCCATAAAGTTGAAAAAAAACCACAGGGTGTATTTCTCTGTCTTGTAAAGCTGGTGCACTTGGAGTTAAGCATCATGTTTAAGTGGTCCATTGATGGGGATTAAGGAAATATCATGGTCCAAGGTTGAAAAAGTTGATAGATATCATTGGCACCATCCCACTGATGCCTGTGGTGTGAGCTAGCATGGTTTGAACCCCTATTAAGTCGGGGGAGGGGGGGGGGTTGTCCACTTTGTTCTGTCCTGTCATATAATGGATGTTACATTTGAGGTCCTCGTGTCTTAACTCACTTGCGACTGGGCCCTTTCACCAGTCACAAGCGTTGAAGACTGGCGTTTTTGGGGGTATTTCAATAAATCACCACAACTCTCAAAATTACCCTATTGTAATCATTTTTTGACACAGTAAAGTAACATTCAAGCTTAATCTAATACAAAAAGCTAAAGTTGTCTAAGTCTAATACTTTAATTTGTATGATTTTTTAAAAATTGGCATGAATTTGATTTTCCGAAAAATTTCCAGAGACGTGATAAGTAGAATGAAATTCACTGCAACAACAAAAATAAAAGTTCAAAGTGTTCTGGTTTGATTTGTATCCATGTGTGAGTGTTTGGTGAAAATATAAAAGCTGGTCTGTGCATTGATTCAGACCCATACACTGAATTACATGAGACAGATGTACGGCACGACGTTGTGATTTCGTTGCACGAAAAACAACACCGGTACTAGTGCTAGATCTAGCCCTAAAACTACGACTCGGGCCATGTTCGGGTACATATCCAGGATCCTAACCATTAGACACACCATATTCTGAGACACTAGAACTAATAAAACGCACAGAAGTATAGAAAACGGCGAAATTATGTGATTCTTGTTCATGCGACTTCTTCGACCGTTACTACGACGCGACTGTCGGATTACTATCAGCTGTATAGAAAAAAACAAAGCGCGAGTTCCGGTCTGTTCAACTCCAGTTGGGGTCACTGTCCTTCACCTTCAATAACTTAAAAACTACCGGCCCCAGAGATACGAAACGAAGTCTAAGTAGCTCAGGCTTGGCCAAACAAGGGTACGAGGCGGGTCTCGCGATCCGTGCGTGATTTGTAGAGCGAAAAAAAAATTCCAAAGTTGGTCACGCAGGGCTTGTGAGACCCGTCGCGAGCGTCGCGGCGGGGGTCACGCAACTGTTGTGTGACCTGTCTGAAGTGAGTTAAACAGGTTGCCTTTATTTTTATGATATTTACGTTTGTCTATGATGCAATTAAAAATAATGTTTACACAATATATACTCCACCCCCACCACTTCTTTCTTTCTTTCTTTTTTTTCTTTTTTTCTTCTTTAATTATTTCTTTGGGAAAATAAGCTAAAGTTTTAACAAAATATCTTTTTGTCACAACCAGTGCTATAATATCCTTAGTCTTGTCTAAAATTTTGCTCCAAGCGTTGCATGATTTGGAGAGATATGACTTTAATTTGATTAGCTGCGGCTGTAACCAGGACGGCGGGTGCTGATTTTTAAAAAAAATTGATGAGCAAAGTTTTAAATTGCATTGTTTTAAAGGAAGTTACAATGCATAGAATAAAATAAAGGGGAGGGTGGGAGGGGGCGGAGTTAGGAACATGGATGTGAAACCCTTTCGTGGTAGCAGAAGTTTTGTGTTGAATGGCTTTATGTTACACAAACAAAGCTGTACTTGAATGTTTTGGGAGACCCGAGGCACCCTTTGCATGACGACCTGGGCAGCATCAAAGGAAACAGGATAAAACGGGGCAGCTCATGGATGGCAGAAGCCGAAGACTCCTTGAGGAAAGTTTGTGGCATCGATGAAATATGCTAGAAAGGAGTGGTTTGAACTGAGTCCCGATTGCAGAAGCCTGGCCAACGTTCACATCACTATGGGTCGTGAAAGACGGGAATGTGCTGCTGTCATTAACGACAATGATATGCGACAGTTAATTGAGGAGCATTCCAAGCCAGAAGACCCAGTGATCTATACGGATGGATCAGTCAGGAGGGGTGAGAGAGGTGGATGGGGTTTTGTGGTATACAGTGGGAACAAATAGGTTCATGGCATGTCAGGGGCCATAGAAAGAACAACTTCAAGCATGAAAATAGAGATTGAGGCCGTAACAAGAGCACTTGGATGGCTTCATAATACAAGACCACGAACAACTCATCTCATCATTGTCACGGACTCCCAGAGCATCTTGCGAAGGGTTGAGAAAGGGCTTCTTCGGAGTGAATGGATGAACCCAATACAACACTCATCACTTACAGCCATCACGTGGATATTCTGTCCTGGGCACTCTGGAGTGAAAGGCATTGAGGAGGCTGATAGGCTGGCAGGCAGTGCCATGGTTGATGGTGAGGTGAAATTTGACAAAGGAGAAGTGTTGAAGACTCTGGAGAAAAAGTTGCAGGATGAAGAAGACAAGGAGACAGCAGAACACCACGCAATCATTAGGATGCGGGAAATGGGGATAGAGAGGGGAGAAGGAAGAATGGTGCTGGGTGGAACTGAGCACTTATGGACCTGTCCGGTGTGCAATAACGTTAGTTGTTGCCCAGGACAGGTAATACAGGTATGTTACACAAAGTCTACTGTATGTATATTATTGTATAAAGCTGAATTACAATGAGAAGTCTGTGTTTTGGAGAGTAAGTCATTTTTGTGTTTTGTTTTACATTTCAGATACTTGCTGTTCTACCACAAGCAAATCTTGGAGTATGAATAACGCTAAGCCAAACTTAGGACCACTTTTCTTATTGTCCTGTGACAGCTCCGTTTGCCAACTAGTATTACATGGAGGGCAGTTGACCTGCCTGAACCCAAGCCAATGCTTTCCTGTCATATTTTGTTCAATGTGTGTATATATATATATATATTTTGATCTAAAGTAAACTTTGTTGCTTCTTCTCTAGGTTCCCACTTCTTAATTTATCTACAGGAGTAGAGGTTTTTAACAAGGAGATAACAAGGCTCTTGTTTATATATATTAAAGTGAAAGGGAGGGGGGGGGGAGCTCCATGTGTTGGACTTTGTAATTCGTACAGTTGTTTTTTACTTCAACAGATGTAAAGAAAGCATCAGATGAAATGCCTATTTATTGATTTATTTATTATGGAAAATAAAGTGATAGGTTTGTGGTCAGTATTCTGATGGAAAAATAGTACATGTCGTCAGTGCATTTCATTATCCGCTCATTCAGGCACTTTCGAGAAATGTGAAAAAACTTTATTATTTTATCCTCTTGAGTTTTAAGATTTATATTTAAGTTGTCATGAATTATTGATGCAAATTAAAATGTGAGAGCCTATTTTTAAGATTGTGCTCAGGTCAAATACCTTAAGATCGGAGTTTTCACATTTTGTTCCGTACGCGGATAGAGAACTGCAATGACGATATGGGATTATTTTGATGAAGGGAGAATATTGTCAATTACACAGAATATGTAATGACTGCTTAGTTTAACACTTTGTCATCATATTTTGGGGAATATCCAAAGAAACCTGAGTGATAAACATCGCCAATCAGCGAGATGGGGTGGCAAAGTGTTAAGGCTCCGCTATGTAACCATTTTGAAAAGCGAAGTATGACAGAGTCTTGCACTGAGCAGTCGACAGGTTGTGTGGATATCCTCTTCTGTACTCATTGTCAAGTGGTTCAGGTACTTAATGAGATATTTCAGTTATAAATTGGAGGGAAGGAGCAGGGGTTGGAATGGTCTTCATTTTATATGGGAATGCTGAACACTTGCTTGTTAGGAACTTTGACAGTGGGGCTGTTACTAATCTCAATCTCCATTCTAGACCTGAGGTCAGCCTCTCAGATTTTTTTCCTCTTTACTCGTTCGGCTCTTGATTCTGAATCCTTCACAATTGAGATATTATGTCATGAAGTCAGTAAAAACATGTCAAGCTCTATTTAGTTCATGTCTTCATTACTTGTGTGATACCCATGGGTGTTTAGTTTATCTCTTTGTAACTGAAATAATACGAAAAGCTGCCAGTCTTGGTGGTGCCCATGTCACTGGCATTAAAACTATAAAATTCTTAAAGATAATGTCAAAGTTCAGTAATCATTTCAAACTTTGCATTGGAAGTAAGTAAGATTATCAAGTGATATGGAAAACAGAATGTTGTCCTTTTAGGGTAGTTTGCTTAAAATTGTTGATAAAGTAACACTCATTTTAAATAGTTGAGGATCGTTTTAATGTTTGCTGCTAAGTATCAAGGAAATGAGTTGCCATTGTTTTGTACAGTATGAGCTGTATGAAGGGCCATGGTCTTGCCTTTTTGATCAATGCAGTTCTGAGATTATCTATGTACTCCCGTTTGTTTCTCGATGTATTCTATACTGAGGATCGACCACAGCAGCTTTATTTTTCATAGATGAGTTTACCACCTCTATTTCTGAAAACCTGTGGGTGGTTGGCAGGTGCTGTGTTAAGGTTTACTCCTTCTTTCGTATCAAACATTTACCATCCTTTTGTCTCCTTCTTTTCTTTGTGTGTTACTTTCCAGTATCACTTCTAATCTTTGGCGCTTATATGACCTATTTGTGGTACAAGTGGCGTAAAACTCTTACTACAACTGTCTTCAAACAGGTCTTTCTTTTAGACTTCTTCGAAGCACTCTCACATTGGTCTCATAGAAACTGGTGGTGTTTCTCCAAGTTTTGACACTGCTGCCTGAGCTGTCAGCATAGCCTGAACAGGGAGAAATCACAGAAGACTTCTAGCTCTTGTTGTTGTTGTTTTTCTTCTTCTTCTCCTCCTCCCCTCCTCCTCCTCCTCTTCTTCTTCTTCACTCTCAGTGACTGTCAGTTCGGTGGTGTGCACAATCTGTGCAGTTTTCTCTAGATCCTTAAAACTGCCATTCAGTTTTCTTCTCTGTTGTGTAGTCTATGCAGTGATGCTGAAATCTCAAGGCTTGTACTTGTAAGTAGACAACATTGCATAAATCTCAAGACTTGTAGATCCAGAAGGCAATATTACATAAATCTCAACGCTTGTAGTTCTAGAAGGCGGTATTGCATAAATCTCAAAGCTTGTAGTTCTGTATAGGCATTGCTGCATAAATCACAGGGCTTGCAGTTCTATAGTGCAACACTGCATAAATCTTGAGCAAAAATGTCAAAAGTGTTTCTCAACTTGTGTGTAAAGAAATTATGAATTTACATGTCTTCTCTTCACACCTTTCTCATTACTTCAGCAGAGTATGTGTGCGTGGGTGCCTTTGTGCGTGTGTGTGTGTGTGTGCGTGCACGTTTGCCTGTGCTTCTTTCACTCAGTTACTTAATGTTCTAATCAAATAAATGCTCCTTCCCGTACTTTCATTGACTGTCGTCTTTTATAGCCCATAAGGCTTTCTACTGTTGCTGCTGCTACTGCAGCTTGGTTGATCTTGTTTGTAAATAGGCTTATATGTATAAGTTCTGTGTAACTCTTCTCTGGTTGGGAAGATCATGGGAATTGCGTGTCTTGATGGTGTAATAGTGAGTGCAGTCTGGATGAACTAATTGATTGTACTTGTTTGCTTTGGTGTTATTATTGACAAGAGGAAAAATTGTTAAAACATTGTAAGCTATCTGTTATCACAGCCTCAATGTGTTCGTATGTAGACTTAACTATTTTTCAATGGACCCGTGATACTTGTGTTGATATAAGTCTAAGATTCTCTGCATTTTGTCTGTACTAGCCTTGAATACATCAGTATTTAGGAAGTTGACAGGTGAAAGCATACACAGCATATATATATGTATATATTATGTATATGTATATAACTATTTTACATATGATTTGTATATAGAGAGACTGTGGTAATTGTTTGTTTATGTAACTGTAATATGTGCATGATAGATGCATGAGAGAAGGGCCACAGATACAAATTGTACACATTTTAGTACCTAATATAGTAGGGTCAGTGTATAGGTGTATGTATTGTTTGTTTGTTATGGTGAATGGGAAAATATAGAGAGGTTTGGATGAACCGCAATTTGAATTGTCACGGTTTGTAACAGTAATGGTTAGTAGTGTTTTAGTAGGTGAACTAACCCTGTGAAAAAAGTACTAATAGTACATCATTAGGAATCAGAGTCAGAGGTTTATGAAAGAATGAACATGGAATGGAGAAACTGGATGTGGATTCTGATTACACCATAATAAATGAATTGACTATGTGAAAATGTAAAAAAGAGGTGTAAGTGAAGATGCAGAAGTGGAACATTTTGCAGCTATGTGATAAAGTGGTTGTAAGGAAGTTGAGAGCCATACATTTCCTTTAAAAACAATGCAGAAAATATTTTAGAATAATTTCTGTGCGCATGTCATATGTATGACAAAGGGAAAGGAACTTCAGGCTGGACTACAATTATTTTGAAGCTCATCACATGTCATTTATCTGTTTGTGTGCATGCTAACGTAGTTGGTAGTATTGGTACATTTGCTTTTTTGACAGCTTCACCATCTGACCTGAGACAGTCTTGGGCCTGTTGGTAGGCTTGAGAACTGGCCTGAAAGTCTAAAGGATAAGAGATATTATGTGAGGCATTGTGGTGAAATAAGGCACTCATCAAAATAATGAAATGAAACAAAATGACATTTTTCTTCCCTTTTGGCAATTTCTATGAAGTTTTTATTTCCAGGCTCAACACCTTTTATGTCCATTAAAAACACATTGCTATGTGGATTTTATTGAAAAACATCGATTAAAGGCACAAAATGTAAATTTGCAGTGTCCAAGGCCTCTCAAGCCTTGGAAGTCGTCAAACTTTGGCGGCCATTTTCTCGCTAATTTTACTTCTGAAACCAATTGACCTCACCTCCTTCAATCTGAAATATTTCAACTTGTATTGAAGATAGATGGGTGATTTTTCATTTAAAGCAATACAAATGAACAAGCTTTAAGGTGATACCAATAACACTTTATGCCCCAAAATTGACAAGCGCCTGATTCCACTGCATCGTGACACATATAATAAATAATTTGATGAGTGGCTGCCATGATGCACCCAGAGTTTTATTAATTATATGTGAGGAATGCTGACAAAATGAGTTACTTCTCATTCTCGGATTTTAGCCCCATGAACATAGATACGTCAAATTTATAGGTTAAGTTTTTACAATTTATCTGTAAAAATTGATTAAAGACGTTAAATTTGAAAAAAGTGGAATCTGTGAAAATTTTACAGACCAGAGACCTGTGTGGGCTTTTGGCTGATATCTCCATTCGCAGATTGTGAGAAGTAACTCATTTTGTCGGCACGCTTCTAATATTCTAGACTATACACTCTGAACATATTTCTGGTTCACTTTTAGCTAAAGTGGGGAGGGTGCTTTGTGCAGTCGACTAGTGCAAGACTGGTGTTTCATTTTTCATTTGTGCATGATGGCATGGCCATAGTGCACATGCTTCGCTGCAAAATTTTTGTAGACGTCGATGAGCAGCAGCCATGACTGTGCATGGTCTCAGCGCACAAGTCTGTGGGGATACACCTTACATCTGTCCATGACTCTGTTGACCATGTGATGTGTGTTTCCCTGTCACAGTGCAGAGTGGGACGATATGTCTTGGTCTAAGAAGCAGCAGCTTGCACATAGCTACATATTGTCACTGCCATAAAACTTTTGCGTTCGTCTTTTTTTCAAAAAGATTTTTAGTTCTCTGTTATAGTAAAAATTCTTGTTTCCTAATCTCAATATAGTATGGTTTTATTTCGTGTACTAAAAACCCAGTCATTGAGGTATTTTTACTTTTGTTTGAAGTCCTATGAATCTATGAATGATTTAAGACTTTCGTATGGCCTGTTTTTGGGGTGTGTTTTTTTTTTTTAAGTTTATTGAAAACAACAAAAAATATCTGATGCTATTGTGTTTTGACCTTCATACTTCATGGTATGCCCTCCTGTGCCCACTCCCCTGCTTCTGTCGTCTGTGAAGTGTGGCACAGTCAGCTAGTTGGCTCACTGCACATGTCACTAGAGATAAAATATAAAAGGCACCCAGCACCTGCTTCACGGTGCTTGCCACTTTTGTGACTGTGCAAACCCCTGCATGCAGACACATGCTCAGAAAAAAGTTGTACCTTGTGGTCTGGTTCACATCGAGTGTACAGGTGACACCGAAGAGGGGCTGCAGTAGTAAGGGTACCAGGTTTAGTATGTTTTTACGTAATAAATAAAATAGCAAGACCTATGCCGGCATATAAATATGGAATTGTGTTTTTACTACTAACAGGTACTAAAACTAAGATAGTGGAAGTACTTAGTACTTTTTGCTACTGACCTGTAATTTGATAGTGTTCAATAAATAAATTGTCGGCCAGCCTATCAGATGTACAAAGCCCAAAATTTTGAATTTTTATAAAATTGCCGTTCCTTTGTCTGTGGTATTGGTTTCATAGGCTCGTGACATATTTTGTAGAAACTCAAATTCATACTGTTGCGAAATGTAAGGAAAGATACATCATGTAGGTACAATTTTTAAAAGAACTGAACTTTTGATTTTCTTTCCCATAGAATTGTGCTTTATGGGTGCTGGACATTTGAAGAGCTTGCCGGCAAACTGCTTGTTCTTGTGACTCTCATGGTTCTCTTGAGCTTGTGTATGTCTGAAGAAGTGCTCTCTTTGTACTTTAAAAAGACTACCAAATGGTTTTATAAAAGCCTCAACACTGTTTGCTCTGGCTTTTATACAAGCTATTTGTTATGATTTCCTTTTGTGGTCCAGCTTCTTGTAGCATCAATAGTCTTTTTTTTGTGTGTGTTCTTAGACTGCTTCTGAGCTTTTTGATATGCTTAGTGGTCGTGGTCTACTTTTTGTTTATGTTTTTTTACATTTTATTCCTTCCAATCTGCAATTATTATTTTTTTATTTTTTAAAAAATTAATGAATATTGTACTAGTCTATATCCCGAGTTCACCTGTGCTTGCATGGCTAATGGTCACATGAATTATAAAAATATATCGTATAAATTGTAAGAAAAGTTGAGGTGTACTTTTCTCTGTGACAATGGGCAACCATTCTGCAATCTAGAATTAGTACAATTCATATATATATATTATGCATGCAGGCACATCTAATGTTTTTCACTTTTTTGTTACTGTTGTTGAGAATGTTGAGTCCATGTATGTGCACGTGACATATTCCAAGAAAAAAACATGATAGGTTTAGTACTAGCCACAATATCTGTTGTAAATTTGAGAAAGCTCACCGTTATGTTCACACTTTTATACTTAAAGGAAATGTATGAATTGCTTGTGTGTTAAAAAAAAAATGAAATTTCAGCTCGGAGAGTGAGGAAATTAAGTGTACATACAGGTTGTGAAAGCAAACTTGTGATTTTGCGCTTTAATGCTGTATGAATGTGAGGTGCTACAAGTGTGAGCGAGCACAAGGGAACTGACTTGCTTTGCTATTCTGTTATGTCTTCAACCTGTCAACTGTTGTTTGATTAGTCAGTGAAGTGCTTGGAAGAAAAATAAATAAAAG